GCTCAAGTGGTAGAGCTCTAGCCTTGAGCTGAAGAGCTGAGGGACAGCGCCCAAGCTCAGAGTTCAGGCCCCATGACCGGACCCCCCTTTGTTATCCTAAGCCACTGTGACCATACTGAAAAGTTTTTCTCATCTGTAAAATGATGACATTCTCCATCCTTCAGGGTTACTGGCTGCTGAGGGGTAGGCTCCCAAAGGAGCATTGTCACAACCTGGTGACCACAAAGAGGATCATGTGATAAACTCTGAGTAGGCACCAAGCAAGTGAATGAGACAACAAACTAAAACCATCATTCATCAACTATGTATCAGATGACCAGTGTCAGGCATCTAGGTGCAAGGAATGGAACCAAACAAATCCCTGCCCTCCTCCTTTACATTCTCATGGGGAAGACTGAAAATAAATAAAGGACTGTATCATTCATAATGAAATACTATGTAAAACTAAAGAGAGCAAAGCCGGGCGCTGGTGGCTTACGCCTGTAATCCTAGCTACTCAGGAGGCTGAGATCTGAGGATCGCGGTTCAAAGCCAGCCCGGGCAGGAGAGACAGTGAGACTCCTATCTCCAATAAACCACCAGAAAACCGGAAGTGGCGCTGTAGCTCAAGTGGTAGAGCGCTCGCCTTGAGCTGAAGAGCTGAGGGACAGCGCCCAGGCCCAGAGTTCAAGCCCCACCACCGACAAAAAAAAAAAAAAATACCCTCTCTACACACTCACTCACGTGCCCATACAGCAGCTGTGCATGGCACTTCCCAGCCCATAAAGCTCATGGTAACCCTCACTGCCAGCTAGAGAATACTCAGTATGTGCCAGGAAATTTACATCCTCAAAACAGCCAGTAAGGTTCGCAGTATTATTCCCATTTTCCAGATTAAAAAGACTGAGGCTTCCCAGTCAAATCATTTGTCTGGTGTTTCATAGTTCCTAAGTAGCAGGATCAGGACTCGTTTGTCCCTCATTTTGCTTTTCTCTCCATCCCCACATCTAACATTCAGCTGTTTCCTGGGGCAGAAGCTCCCAGCACAGAGGGTAAGGTCTAGCTCATCTTCACATCCCCCGCCCCGTGGCATCGGACTACAACTGTGTTCAGTGAAGGAGCTCACACACAGACATACTGCCTGAGGAACACAAGGAAACACACAGTAAAACATTAAAACACATATGAAACATGCAACGCGTTACCTAGTGATGGTATTCCCTTCCTACTTCTACAGCATACTTGTATGTGCCTCAGTTTTCTCATAAGCAACATAGAAGTAGCGGTGGTTGTGGCTGCTCAGTGGGGAGTGACTGTGAAGTGCTTAGCCCGTTCCTGGCACACAGCCACTCTGCCATACAAGTTAGCTGTGGCTATGATAACATGAGTCCCGCTCACACAGGTGCTGGACACACCCGCGCTGTCCTCTCAGCCCTCTTCTAGCCTACTTGGGGTACAGATGTCCTCATGGCTGACAGTCCCAGCGGAGGTGACGGAATGAGCATCCACCGGGGTGAGGGAGTACTGCTCCTCGCCAGCTCTGGATTCAATCAGGGAAGGCTTCCTGGAGGAGGCCTCTACCTCAGCTGGTTAAGGGAACCGGGTCCAAGCACGAGGGTGCTGCTGTCCCTCCTGTGCTCCTCAAAACACCCCCCAACTTCTGCTACAGCAGCGGCTCCACCTCCTTCCCACAGCAGAAACTTTCCCCTCTCCTCCGCCAGAGCGCAAATTGCCCCCAGGAATGTGCTGCATCCCACAGCTCCCCTGGCAGTGGCCAGCGGCTGTCCTGGGGTCAGGCCTGGCCCTACATCAAAGACTCGGGTTCGGTAACAGCATGTCTCCTCGCTGGCGGCCACCCTCCCCTCCCTCTCACCACCCCATTCGCTTCCAGGGAACAGCACATGGTAGCACTTAAGCACAGGAGGATGGAGGATGCTTTTCCTGCACCCCCCCTCCCACGGGCCACAATGGGCTACTTGTTAGGAGACTATTTTAATTTTATTTAATGCGATTTCAGCTCCTAGGGCCTGTGTTGCCACTGCTCCGTGGACTTACTTGGATGCCTGGTACAAATTCAGGGGAGGCCAACCTCCCAGAAGGTGTAACCTGACTATGGAAACTTCATAGGGGTTGGGGTCTGGGGAAGGAAGGGGGCTCTTACATCAGCGGCTGGGGCAGGGGGCCTGCACACCCATTCAGGAAGTGGGGGGGGCGGTTAGGGGTGAGCTCAGAGCTTGAAAGTTTGGAGTGTAAGCGAGCCAGACATCTTGGCCAGAGAGCTCTTCCCATACCCTGGGTTTGGTAGGCAAGCAGTCAGCCTGGCAGCTGTGTGAGCTTTGCTTTCGGGGGTCATGGCTGTGATTAGGGGAGGGGGACACTCCCAGACTCCGATTTAGACTCTGAGATTTGCCCATCAGGTGCATCTTCTAGCAAATTCTGAAAGCCAACGGTCCAATGTTTCTTTCTGGCACGGTAGGGTGGTGATCTGGAGACCCCTGGTGGCCAACAGCTGCAGAGCAAGACCTTTTCTACAGCATCTGCTCTAGATATATATAAACTACAATCCCCCAGCTGCTGGGGTGGGCAGGGCTGAAATTTGTTGTTTGGAAATTCTAGAAGATGGGGTGCTTCAGATAGTCCTGCAATTCCCAGTCCCTTTACTTCCCTCAATCCCTGTGTGACAACACACAATTGTGGAACCGTAGCTATGAAGGCTCCTTGTTTCCATAGCTCATCAGCCCTGTAAGACTGTCCAAGTTTAATTCTAGGAAATATTCAAAATCTCATGCCACCTAAATGGCTAGCAGAAAGTAGCCTATGACATAGGGAGAAAGGTGACACTTCCTCCTAATTAGAATTATATAGGATTAACTACAGAAAGCTTCCCACAACTGGACTCCAGCATTCTGTCCCTCAATCTCATTCATTCATTCACTTGGGCTCAGTCTTACACTGAATGCTAAGAATACAGTTGTCCAAAATAGAGGGCTTGTCATGGGGTCTTATAACTGTAAGTGGAAGGAGGGTTAAAGAAGCTCAATGAAGGAGGACATAAAAGTGACCATTTCTTTTTGGTGGCCTCCCCTCTAGAAACAAGTCCTGAACACACACTGCCCCCTGGTCCTACCCTCAACCAAGCCACACTTTTAAGTACAATATACTTTTAAGTAGCTCCCCTCATCCCAGGCCTATCTATTAACTTGGGCAAGGCCAGGAGTCTAGTTTTCCCTTACTCTGCCTGGATTGAAGGTGCTAGGCCAAGAATAGCACTACCAAATATAGCCATAAACAGTCTTGCTTCTTTCAAAGCTCTGTAAGGCTGAGAGGAATCACACAATGACTTCTCTTCTCTCCCTACTACTAACCAAGCTTCAGAAAAGCAATGCCATTGAGAGCACGAGCTCTGCAGTTGGCTCAGGTATGAACCCTGGCATCCCCACTTAGCAGTGGTATGACTTTGTGGCCTAAGAATGGAAGAGCTCAATACAGTATGTAACGTACAGTGAGTGACACGGGGCAAGTACTCAACACGAGTTTAGTGTTTCTAGTCAAATTTTCCATGCTGAACAGAAAGAAACCAGGACACGATTGGGATTTCACTCAAGAATGTGTCTTTATTGAAGAATTTATAAGAAAAAGGACAGACCCTCTGTAAAAAGAGGAGATGTTGCTTCCAACAGCAGGGGGAATGAGGCCTGGGAGGCTTCCCAGAAGTCGGTGTTTCTGGTATGACTGGCTCCCATGTCCTGGCAAGCACTACAACGTGTCACACTGCGCCGAGAAATTCCTACCCACACCCTGCTATCCTTCCCCCCAACAACCCCAGATTCCCTACTGCCATTTGTCAATGGCTTGACGAAGGCCAAGGAATAGATGTGCCAGGTTTGTCTCTCAATGGGGTCAAAGTAGATTTTGTGCTGGAAAATGTACAGGAATGTAAAATAGTTTGAGTTCTTTCTAGTCCAACCAAGGACAATTACATCCAGCCCCTTTGAAGGGGAAGGGAGTGAAGAATTTCCCTTCTGAATGTGCATACTTGTGGTGTAAATGGACTATACCAGTCTGCTCTTTATTAGCATGGAGAATGGAAACAAGGTTAGAAGAATATAGAACATCGATATTAAAGAGTCACTGAGTTCCAGGGAGCAGATGGAGCACTGAGCCTTTCTGCTTCCAAAAAGTCCTCCCGCTGGCTACCTCTTGTCCTGAGAATGGTCATTCTTCTCCAGCTGGGAGATTGTCTTCAATCCTTCTGATGAACCGCATCCGTATTTCTGTCACGCCATCTCCTTTCAGGGTGTCCTGGACAAACTTGGCCTCCACGGCCATCTGAACCTGGGGACAGCAGAGAAATGCAAGGGCAGATGCCACAGCCTTGGGGTAGGCTGTGCCTGACCCCAGAGCACTCAGAATGGCGGGCTGGTTCCCACAGGACTGCCAGCTCCAGCATCCCACTGCAGAAGACAGTGGTCCCAATAACGAGATTGTTATCATGTAAGCCAGTCTAGGAGTAGGGAGAGTGTGGGCCTGGGCTGTGAGGACTGAGGACACCACCTCTCAGCCCAGTAGGTCAGGATCACCACCACGGAGAGGTGTTCCACTTGGATCCCATCTCAGCATCACTATCATTTCAGGCAGTAAAAGGCTGGGAAGAGCCAAAGCCCCTTTCTCTCATTCAATCAAACATTTTTCCAACCCTTACCACAGTTCAGATATTGCAAAAGGTAAAGAGCTGCACTCACCATCTCCAGGGCTCCCCGCAACACACCACACAAGAGATTGGAATAAATAAGAGATGAGTGGTTATCAGGAAGTTCCACGAAGTCCACCAAGGGGTTGTTTTCCAAAATGAGGGAGAATTCATCACCAGCTGGGCTCCAATTAGTGATGCTTGGAGTGATGCCCAAGTACATCTTGAATGCCACCTATCAGGAGACACACAATAGCACTATGGGAAAAGGCCAACAGAAACAGCAATAAGGGCCATGCACTGGGGGCTCACACCTGCAACCAACAAAACAAAAACAAGAAAGAGAGAAACTGTAGGGCTAGGAATCTGACTTAGTGGTAAAGTGCTTTCCTAACATGCATGAAGTCCTGGATTCAATTCTTCAGCCCCAGGACTGGCCAAAAGAAGAGAAGGCCAGGGACCCGTGGCTCATGCCTATAAACCTAGCTACCCAGGAGTCTGAGATCTGAGGATCAGGGTTCAAAGCCAGCCAGGGAAGGAACATCAATGAGACTCTAATCTCTAATAAACCACCAGAAAACTGGAAATGGCTCTGTGGCTCAAGTGGTAGAGTGCTTGCCTTGAGCTGAAGAGCTGAGGGACAGTGCCCAGGCCCAGAGTTCAAGCCCCATGACTGACAAAAAAGAAAGAAAGAAAAAAATTGTAGTAAGGATGGTGACCTGAGGGAGAAATGAAGCTCTGAGTTTTAGATATTCATGGCAAAAGGCAGAAACACTGTATACAGTTGCACATGGCTCTCTTTCAAGGCATTATATAGTCAAGCAACAACTCACTCTCTGTGTAGAAAGGACCACGGACCACCTGAGGGTCAAACATCCTGAACCAGCATCTGAGCTGAGCAGACAGGCCCCTAACCTCTCTGTGTACTTGCTAGGTAGGTACACTAATGCTGGACCATACCTTCAGCTAGGGACCCACATTCTTGAAAGTGAATAGTCACAAGTGGAATTACTCTCAAGGTATCTTTCTCTATCTACCACTCCTAATCCTCCCCTCCCCTCATAAAGCTTTCTTCACTCTCAATCCTCTTTAGGATTTGAGTATGGCCAGCATGCTCACATCTGAAGGAACGATCCGTTAGGTAAATGTCACAGAGCTAGAGGTGTCATACCATTTAACACCGTAATATACAGCACTAGTATTAACAATAGTAATCACTGTAAGTGCAATACTACTACATGAAGCGCATTCATTTTACCTGAATGTTCATGCCCGTTATTCCTTACAACAAAACTTTTACTTTCTTCATTTCAAGGTGAGGTAACTGCCAATTAAAGAGGTTAAAATAAACTTACTGAGAACCCAGAACCAGTAAATATTGGAGCTAGAACCTGAAGCCATGTTTCTCTGAGTCTAAGATCTGTATTCTTTTTGTTTGTTTGTTTTTTGGGGTCCGGTCATGGGGCCTGAACTCTGGGCCTGGGCGCTGTCCCTCAGCTCTTCAGCTCAAGGCTAGCGCTCTACCACTTGAGCCACAGCGCCACT